TCTTGCCTCAACCTCCTGAGTAGCTGGGACTAGAGGTGCCTGCCACAACGCTGGCTAATTTTTCTAGTTTTAGTAGAAATAGGGTTTTTTTCTTGCTCAGGCTGGTCTTGAACTCTTGCGCTCAAGTAGTCCCCCCACCTTGGCCTTCCACAGTGCTAGGATTATAGATGTGAGCCACCACAACCAGCCCCAAGGCAATTTGTTACCTATTATTATTATCTTAAAGATTTTCAGGGGCAGATAATTCATGTTTTCTTTTTTCCCTTTTTGATTTTTGTAAGAACATTTGCATAGGATACATATTTATAATTCTTCTTGTTTCAAAACTTTTTTCATAAGCAAATATCTTCATTTTGTGTAGATTATTTGCTTTTGGAATAGTAAAAATACAATGCATTCTTTATCTGTGTTATTCAGTTTCTAACACTCCTTTCACGTTTATCTTTTTACTTATAACCATTAGTAGGATTTCAATAGCATTTGAGCAAATTATCCTTTCTAAATCTATAAATCTGCATTTATGTCTGTGGGGGTGAATCTCTACTCCTAGGCAAGTAGATTTATCAATGTAAACCTATCTGTGTAAATATATGTGTATCTATAGAGATTGTCTCAGCACTCACAAGTATAGAAGAAATATTGTCTTCATTTAGAAATGGGACAGTTATTTTTTCTGTTGGGCACAGATAGATACTCTTTGAGTTACGTACAACTTGAGATTATATTTCAAGATGCAAATGTAGAGAAGACAGAAAGATGTTCCCAGGTAGGGACAGTGGAATGAACATAAACATGGCACCAAAAGAAGAAAATGTGGGATATATTTAAAGAAGAGGGCCAAGGAGGTAAATGAGAGAGTTAAATGATAGACTTATTAACCCTGCTAATGGAAGGTCTAGTGTGCCATTTTGAATTTGGATTTTATTTTATAAATAATGGGGAATCATATAAGCATTCTGAGCAAGGGGGAGGCAAAATCATGGCTCCATTTTAGGGGATTAAGTTTGTATCAATGTGAAATGAGTCAGAGAGGGTGTTAGAATTAGAGTTCAGAGCAGAAGAAGTAAGGGTTCAGAGATTAGACATGTCCAGTGGGTACTGAGTGACATGGTGGTTGATGCAGATAATTAAAGAAAACCCACACAAAAACAAGAGCAAAGGCATTTGTTGGGGTAAACTAGACCACAGTAAATAAAGACTCAACGTGGAAGTTGTTTCTCAACCATGTAATAGACCAGGATTATTCCAGGGGCTTGGGTGAGGAGTCAAGCTCTTTTCCACATACTCAGTGATGCACACTGAAACTTGCTCTGATATCTCACCAGGAGCTACCAAAATTATCCCAAAGTCTGACATCTAATAAGTCAGCAAAGTAAATGAGCATGGAAGAATGTATGTATGTAAGAGATATAATGGACCAAGCCTGGAACTTCTGCTTGTACTCCATTGGCCAGAACTTGGTCACATGGCCACACCTAATTGCTAGGAAGGCTGGGAAATAAAGTCTTCCTGTGTGATCAGGAAGAAGAGAAAAATTATTTTAGTAAATGCTTAGCAGTGTTGGCCACAAAGACCAAGGAAAGAAACTTGTGTAATGCCAACTCTTCAGGGGGAAGAAGGAAACCCTGTAAGAATAATGAAAACTTTACTAAACATTATTAACTTCTTCTATATACAACATTACATAGTTAATGTTTATTAACATGAGCTAGAGAAGGGTTCATGACAAATGTAGGAAAGAAATCAAAATAGTTCATTTGTGTACTCCATTCTTGTGCTAATGCCACCCAGGCTAGATACCTTCATGCAGAATTCAAGAGTCCCTGAGACTGCTCTCACTTCTGACAGCAATTACAAGTTTGGGGAACCCCCAGCACTACATAAAGTCCAATAATTCATTAGAAGCACTCACAGAGCTCACTGAAAGCTGTTATCCTCACATATATGATCTTTTACAGTCCTGTCCCAGCAGAGGCAAGAATAGCTGGCTGACTTCACCCATACAGCACATACTGTCAAGCAGGGAAGCTCATCCAGAGTTTTAGTTGGGGATTTGTCATGTAGACATGATTGTCCATGTGGTTGACCTTAGCTTCTAGACCAGCAGTTCTCAACCTTCCTAATGTCATGGCCCTTTAATACAGTTCCTGTAGGTTGCGACCCACAGGTTGAGAACCACTGCTCTAGACACTCTGAAGGTCAAGTTGATACCAAAGCCCCCAGGTAAACAGAAACACTCCTATCAAGCAAGGCATTCTGCATGCTTGAAGATTTCTAAGGAGCTGAAAGCTCAGTGGTTTATCAGTGTTTTTTGATCTTTCACGTTTTGCAACATTTTACACTTCACTTTCTAAAATAGTTGGTGGGACTTTGGCTATAGTTAGATTTCTGTATTATTTGCTGCCATTATTATGTGTTTAATTTCCATCTTCTCTGGGAGATTTTATTCCATGGATTACCACAGTACCCCAGTGCCTGCCACTTGTGACATGCAGTAAATGTTTGCTGAATAAATTAAAGAAATATAAAAGGAAAGGGATTAGTTTATATAAATATATAAGTTAATGTTGCATGAAAATTTCCCCATAGTAGAATACTCTAGATTGTATGGATTGATTTCTTCAGGACACGTTGCAAAGAAGTACCTTTCTATTTTACTTTTAATGTACTTATCATTAGTCATTATCTGAAAACGTTTGGGATCCATAATTATTCTTATCTTTCCTCTATTGCTGTCCCAAAAGATTGACGTGGGACATTTTCCTGTTGACCTCTGTGAAAAAATTTGATGTGACTTGCTACAGGGAAAAATTTCCAGTAGAGAAAGGCAGGCTTTGGTGAAACGATGGATACCCTTTGATGCAGGGAGCGGTGATCCTCATCAGTGTTGCTTTCCTTATTAGGAATAGTTTTGAGGCTCTTGGGCACGTTTATGGCACAATCCTCCCTCAGGATCTCACCGCACGTTGCCCCTGAGCCCTTGACACCTGCATTCCTCATCCTTTCCTGCTTCACTTCTGCTGTTCCAGGACTCGCCTTTCCCGTTCCTGGATCTCGAAGCATCTAGATCTCACATGTTACAATATAACCTTTAGTTATGCTTGCCTGAAAATTATGAGTCTATTGGCCCTGAAAGGAAAATGAGTTGTATTTGAATCTGAAGAAATACATTTATTTTAAAAGATGGGCAATATTTGGCATTTTTTCCAGCCATTTTTTTTCCATACCCAAAGTCGTTTGGTATATACAGAGGGTGCCAAAAAATGTATTCACATCTTAAGAAAGGGAAAACCTGTATTGAAATTGTAATATTCAATATATACGTATAATGTTTGTTATCTTGTATATCGTGTTTTGTTTTCCTTGTAATTTCAGAAGTCAAATGTGACTTGAGTATTACAATTTTAATACATTTTTTTCCTTTCCTAAAATGTGCATACATTTTTTGGCACCCCTTTGCTTCTCTGTACTAAGCTTTGTGATTCAGAGGCTGTTGTTTTGTGGATACTTCTAGAGTGGATTAAAATAAAATTGGTTCAAGTATAAAATGGATTTCTAAATTACTTGGTTATTCTCCAAAATGTCTTATCACAGTCATCCCCTGTGTTAGTCTGTTCATGCTGCTATAACAAAATACCATAGACTGGGTGGCTTAAATAGCAGACTATTTCTCACAGTTCTGGAGACAGTGAAGTCCAAGGTCAAGGTGCCAGCAGATTCCATTCCTGGTTAGGTTCCTCTTCCTCACTTGCAAATAGCCACTTTCTTCCCGTGTGCCCACATGTCTCTTCCTCAGTGCAAGTGTGTGAGAAAGAAAGTTGGGAGAGAGGGAAAGAGGGGGAGAGAGACGGGAAAGGAGAGGAAGAGAAAGAGAGCATGCACAATCTTATGGGGCAATAATCCCATTAGGAGGATTCCACCCTCATGACCTAATTACCAAATACCATCCCACTCAGGGTTAAGGCTTCAATATATGAATTTTGAGGGGACACAGTTAAGTCTATAACATCCTCCCCCCTATAAATACATGCCATGTGCTTTGGAAGAATAAGATAAAAACAAGAGCAATTTTTGTATAAGACCTGTAGACTCCGTCTTGTTCCTTCATGGTAATTCAGCACAATGCTTTCCCTAATAGCTCAAAGCCCTTTTTAAGCAAATGAGCAAAATATACAATTAATATATAAATCCATCATTTCCAAGGTAGTGTACCATAAGGAGGCATATGAAATCCTATTCATCATACTATTAAAAAGCAGTGCCCCCCCCCCCAGTGAAATACTGCCCATTTCAGAACAATAGGATTCTTGCTTGTCATGTCAGATATCCTAGCAGCCCTGCTCGCCATCCAAAGTATGTATTTTTAGAAGCAATAAAATTATTTAGCTTGAAAAATAGAGAATTAATTGGGTGAAGGCCTTCCTGAATTCATAAGATGTCTGAATTGGTGGAAATTTATTATGCTTTGAGCACACAGGGACTTGAACTAAGTTTGAAGAAGCCTCTGCCCTTAGAGGTGTAATTTACCCATTACTGACATAAATGCATTTTCAACCAACCTTTACTCACAGTACTTTGTGCTACCATCTCTATTCTTAGCTAATTCATGAAATTAAGGAAAATTTTAATAGCATTTTGGTTTTAATTGTCATAGAATTTGCAGTGTTGGGTCTGGATGAACGAGGCCTTATATCAAAATGTTTAGAGGTATTTTTTCTTATTTGTTGAACAGATGTGTCCAAAATGACCATACTCAGGAATAAAACAAGATATAAACCCAACGTCTCCTTTAGCTATAGCTCAAACAAAGTTTTTCCAAACACCTTTTTCTGTTTCCAGAGTTTTGGTGGAATCATCTCCAGCAGAACTTTGAGAGGTAAAATGAGAACAATTTAAACTCCCTGAATTTCCTAATTGTCTATGTCTCAAATCTAAATCTGAAAACTCCTCTCTTTATCTCTGAAAAGAAGACTGAAGTTAGGTTGGTCTGTTCCTTGCAGGAGAATGCTGTGAATGGAGAACACCTGTGGCTGGAGACCAATGTCTCAGGAGACCTCTGCTACCTGGGAGAGGAGAACTGCCAAGTCAGATTTGCAGTGAGTGTGGCTGCCAGTGCCGGCTCCATCCTTCTGGGGGAAGACCTCTGTGTCTGAAGGCTGCGGGGTCACCACGCCTGAATTTCCAAGGAAGGGTTTGAAGGAACCTGTCCTTCTGAGGTGGAAACCTTCCTGGATGTTTGTGGTTTACAGAGTTTCTCACGTTAATGAATGGCTCTTGGGTTGTCCATTTTGGTGGTTTTAGGATTTGGTTATGCAGCCTAGAGATGCCCAGGCAGGGTAGACTTTTCATGTGGAGAAGAGGGTAACTGCACAAGAGAGATGTCGGCTTACAGAGGGGGTGCCAGCTGGGCCAGAGGACTGTTTGTGGAGGAAGGGACTCTTGCGAAGGGTTATCTGTTTGTAGGGGAGTGACTGCAGTGGCCTTACTGAGGAGTGAAGATGGAAACAGGGTGGGAATATCTGTGCTGGGGTTGTGTGTACCCTAGCAAATAATACAGACTAAATTCTGCAAAGTACAATTCTAGAAATGATACAGTGATTAGGTCAATCGTTGGTGTATCCTTTGCCTTTTCGAAATCTGCTTTTTGTGTCTGTTGAGAACAATCTGTTTAAAGGTTAAGATTCTCTTCATGGTCTATGGAAAAAGCATGGTTGCCAGGCTGCCTAGTGAGGAAGAACTAGAACTTTAGTGTTGAGAAGGGGAACTGAACACTTTTGTGTAGGTTATAATTACTGATGCACAAAGAGAGTAACAGAAAATAGAATAGTAAAAACACAAAAAAGGATGTATTACTTCTTATTTGGGGAAATGGGAATCAAATTAACATAATACCTTTTTATGTTTTGTTATGTTTGTTTATTATGTGAAAGAAATATTGGGGGCAAAATACAGGGGTCTTGACATTGCAAATGAGGATGTTTCTGTTAATAATTAATAGGGAAGAGATTGCATTTTTATCAAAGCTCATAGAACACACACAGAACATGCAAAAAAAATGTAGACACATTTTAAGAAAGGAAAAAATCTGTGTTAAATTTGTAATATGCAAGTCACATTTGACTTCTGCAATTACCAGAGGCACTCAAACGTGACTGATATTCATCTTTTGTTAGTGGTATATACTGAGTATTACAATTTTCATATAGTTTTTTCCTTTCTTAAAGGAAAAAATGTGTCTGCATTTTTTTGGCATCCTCCATATATTCCCCAAAGACTTTTATAAGGCTGCCTGAATTTGCAAAGTCTCAGAACCAAGACCTTTTCTATCACGTTAGCTGTTTTGACCACTAGTTTACAGGGGATTTGGGGGGAAAATATTTGAGAGCTTTGGGGAAAACAGGATTTATTTGGGTACCAGTGGAAATAAATACGAGGGAAAGGCCCACATGAGCCGGCTCTGGATTTGAGGTCAGGAAAGCTGGCATTGAACCTCAATGTTACCGCTTTCTGTGTGACATTGAGAAGTCACAACCTCTGGACTTCGCCTACCTTCAAAGAGTAGGATTAAGTTATTTGTAATTTGCTTCTAACTCAGCTCTGTATTAATCATTTGCATTTCTTCTAATCTTGTTGTAAATTCAATTGATTTAAACATCAGGATTTCAGCTTTATGCATATGTATTTTTAATTCAAGTATAATTGCCCAGAATATGATTAAATTAACCAAATCCACGAGAAGCTCAGCTGTTTGCACTAAAGTGCTATAAATAATGAATTAGCATTAGGGTCTTAGTTAATTCTGTAAACACTGGTCTTGGGATATCAGATAATATAAAATGAAAAAAAAAGAAAGCTAATCTTACTTGTGTATATACTTTTGAATAATTTCTACTGATTCTGCTGCCAACTGATGGATTATAATTTGTTACAGTTATACCTTATCTCCAAATTGCTCTTTTTGATTCTTTCTGTGACTGTTTTGGCATAGACGCATATTCCGTCATTGAAAGATGTATGAACAAAGGCATCGTCCTTAAACTTTGTATCGTCAATAACATTGTTATCCTATAAATGATTATTACATGGTCGCTATTACCACTGAGTCATGAAAAACACCAAGAGGAACAGAGGAAATCTTAGGTAGAAGTAGGAGGAAACAGGATTGAGAAGATTCCCAGTGTCCTTCTGAAGCTTCCTCATCATTCCATCCCAGGTGCTTGGTCCTATTAACTCATTGTACAAAGTGTATAGGAATTAAAGAACTCACTTCCAGAAGAATGCTGATTAAATGAAGAAACAAGTCAGTGAGGAAGCTGAAAAACTAATTGCTATAGGTTCCTTAAAGCTCAGTTTCTTCACCTATAAAGTCAGAGGAATGCTATTTAGAGGATTTAATGTGATAATACATAGAAAGTTCTTCCTTGGCATAGCAAATGACGTAGTTGATTAAAGGGAACCCTCCCCCCAAAAGAATAAGAACAGGAAGTTCATAAAAATTTGCTAATAAATATACACATATGTGTAAAAATATAAAAAGATACCCAAATTAAAACAACCTTGAGGAGTCAACAGCATGTGACTTCTAAATTAGCAAAGATAGATAAAATGATGCTACTGCTGATTGGTTTAGCCTAAAATGGATTGTATTAACATCTGGCAGGAGTGGAAATTGATTTGCTTCACAGAATTGGCAGTGTGTGGAAGAAGCATTAAACAATTCTCCTGGTTTTATCTCCCATGTTGTGAGGTGTGTGTCATCCATGGGCATTACATTCTGGGAGAGGCACTGGCCGAGAGCAAAGGATCCAGAGGAGAGTGCCAGTTTGGCTCAGGAGATGGAACCTTGTCAGAAAGGAAAGTTAAATCATATGCGTTCTAGCTGAGTATTAAAGAGGGAAGGTAGAGAAATGTCTTCCAGTATTTGAAGAGTTGCCATGAAGAAAAGAAAAGTGACTTGCTGTCTGTTGTTAGGAAGGCAGAATTAAGTTATCTAGAATCCACAGACTCTGGGTCTAGGTGATTAAGTTCTAGATGTATAATTCACTGATACAGAATCATTACCTGGGAAACGTGTCAACAATGCAAACTACAGTTTCCCTCCTTGGCGCAAGTACCAACTCAGTATGCCTGGAGCTAGACGTGGGAATGTGTGACTTTAACAAGCACCTCAAACAATTCTGGTGCAGGTGGTTTACAAACCTAACTTTGAGAAATACAGTATGATAAGAAAGAATTTGAAAAACTTGAGTTGTGCAGTAAGGGGACAAACTGGGTGGAGAGATGGAATCAAAGGGTGTGTGTTTTGGGGTGACTTGAGTGGCCATCTTCTGAGGATACTGATGGAGATACACACCCCCTTTGTCTAAGAGGTGGTAAGATATAGAAGTCTCCAGAGGAGCCTCCCGTTTAGATGTTTTATGTTCTATTTGCAGCTTTCTTAGAGGAGAGTAGCAGCTTTGTAAGAAAAAGCATATATAATATGTGCAATCTGTCCCCCAAAGTCACCATACAGTTGGAAAATGGGAAATTGTAGCACAATGTACCTTTATTTACAAAATATTCATTACCCAATTTTACAAAGAAGAGGCCAACACAGAGACAATATTTTGTAAAGTTTTGTAATGAGTATTTTATAAATAATGGTAACATTTTAGTATAATTTCTCATTGATTTAATGTACGGTGACTTTTGGGGACACTCTGTAGATTATGTGTTATATTTTCTTTTCTTTTAATGAACCACCTTTGAGGAAAGCTCACCTGTTGAGGTGAGACTAACTCACCATAGCCCAATCCTACCTGCAGGCTCCCAAACGAGGTGCAGACGGAGTGCTTGGGGGATGATTGACTCTATCTCCAAAGACAGAGCCTCTCCCTCATATGAGTGGGGTGGAGGGAGAGGCTAGGAAAGAGGCGTGGGACGGGCTCTGCTGACCTTGTTGACATCTTGCTTTCTGACCTCTAGCCTCCAAGACTGTGAGCCAATACGTCAATACATTTCTGTTGTTTTAAGCTTCGCTGTTTGTGGCACTTCCTTAGTGTAACCCCAGGAGACTAAGATAGTGACCATTCTCTGAGGCGAGTTACCTTACGCAGCCATCCAGCTAACTGTGCGGTCACAGGGGCTCACAGACACCCACACGCCCGCGGAGGTCCGTGGCGAGCAGTGCTGAGTGTTTCGGTTGAGAGGGTGCTGGCTAAGTGAGCAGACAGGCAGTTAGGTGTCAGAAGCCGAGAGCTGCAGGGGAGAGAGTAGGTAGATGGTTTGGGGAGCGAGAGAGTGCGTAGGTTGTGTAAGAGGAAAAAGGAACTGTCAGACTTCAGGACGCTGTTACCAGATATATCTTCTCTATTTTTAAATGTGCTTACGCCACCTTCTTTTTGTGGCTCGGCTAATAGGTACTGCCTGGCTTTTGTTGTTGTTTTGCTTTCATCTTTTCCTTGTGCGTAATGTTTGGAGAAAATGGCCAACCCCATCTGTGATGCCCAACCTTAATTGTAAGGTGCCTTCCGATGCTGCTCACAGTTTGACAAACAGGGTTTTATTGAGAAAGTGAATGAACTGTGTAAAGGGGTCACATGACACGGGAGTTGGCGCATTGGAGAACGGGAGCCACACTGATCCAGAGACAAAAAGATCTGGATGAAAATCCAAGCTTTGCCCTGCTTTCCCGAGTCTCAGTTTCCTCTGTAAGATGAGAAAGATGAAACCTACGTCTCAGAATCAGGAGGATGAAATTAGTTGACAAATATTCATATTCTCTCTCCTTCTCTCCTGTTCCTGCTTATAGTCTAATGTCTTTAAGTTGAGGGGGTTCAGGACTCAGGAGTAGCCTGGTTGGACTTTGGTTGTGATGATGTCTTATGTTTGGGACGGTTCTGTCTAATCCCAACACTAAGACTCTTAACGCCTTCAACAGCTGTGCATAGTACCTGTGTTCTCACTGGTCTTGGGTGGGCCCAGCTGAGTATGACAAGCCGAAGTGGCCCCTTCTGGAGGACATCTCACCAGCGATGCCTTCTTCTTGGTGAAACAGAACCCATCATTGTCTGCAATGAGTCTACCCCAACATCTGCTCACAGGGATGCTGGCCTGT